TGTTGGAAGGTGAAAAAAATATTCAATGTAATGACAAAAATTGTAAAATGCTGTGGAATTTCTTTTGCAAATAAAAATATACTGCAATTTTTTATTAATGGTTTATTCAAGTGGACAAAATATAATGTACAGAAAGATTGCCCGTAGAGTGTCTACACTGAAAAGTAAGCAACCGACAGCCTGTATAAAAGGGGGGGGGGGGGGGGGGGGCTGTGATTAGCTGTTACTTACGCGAGATTTGAACGGGACTTACATAGGCGTCGGATCAGATGTAGGTAGGGCGGAATAAAAAAAAATCACAAAATCAAAGTAAAATAATAAAAGGGCATTAATAACAAAAGTAATAAAAAATAAAATAAGTTTATAGCCAAAATAATTAAAGCCCGTACACTACATCAGATTTTAATCAGATTGGGGGGTGTTCAATCTAATATATCAACAAATAAGGACAGTACACCATAATGTGGAAATTCACGCCCTATATAAATAAATGTATATATAATATTGGATTATTTTTTAAAGGGATAAATATATTTTAAATTACATAAATACTTAAAATGAGAAATTGGAAAATAATGTGTACTGTTTGAGAACTATATTTATTTGACTATAACTATATTCTACTCTACTGTGTAGTCTTGTATCTAATTTGTCGACAATATTTAGTAAAACAGACCAAAATATTAGCAATTAATTCTTTTAGTGGTCTGAGGCCTGGGTAAGGTCACGAGTTGCAAGCGTTGTCACATGCGCCACCAGCGTCAAGGTATTGGCAAATCAATTAATGACGTCATCGTTTGGAAACTAAGATGGCTGCCATAGCTCTCTTTTGTTGTCGTTTATTGTGAACAAAATCGTTGGTTATTTCCCCGTCTATACCGTGCGTTCTGCTACCCAGAATGTTGCCAAACCCTGAACCACTATGAGAACTTCCAAGCATATTTAGCGGGGACCGCGAAAAGTTGTCAGTAACACTGGTGTGAGTAGGTAAGCCGTTTGTTTGTGTCTACAAATCAGCTGTGTTATGCCTCACTATCACTCGTCGCATTTGTTTTGATGGGCATTTAAATTCCAAAGTTGTTTGCTACGAAACTTCACAGAATCGCGACTCACGTAACGCGTCAATGAAACCATCTTGCTATAGTTGTCGTAACGAACTGATAGGAATACGGTGCCCGGCAAACGCGTTGCGGTCCACCAGTCTGCGAACCGCTAGCGGGATTTTGTAAACAGCGGGGGATGCTCCAATAGTATTTCCCTTTGAAATCAAATCATCATGGGCGACTCGAGAAAATGGACCTGTGAATATTGTACGTATTTGAATTGGCCATCTGCTGTAAAATGTACCCTCTGCAGAGCCCCCAAGCCATTGCATATCATTCCTCCAGAAACTAGCAGCAGTCGACCAGACGTAAGTTCCTCATCGTCCCCTCTTATATGCGACAAAACACAGGTGTGTGAAAATGAAAACAACAAACCAGGTGCATCGAGATGGTCTTGCAAGTCGTGTACCTACCTGAACTGGCCCAAAGCCATAAATTGTATGCAGTGCCACAGCCCTAAAGGTGGGAATATAATTGCCAACGAAAGTGGCAGCCCGCGTTCATCTACACGAAGAAAACCACCGACTTCACCTGACAGCGATAAAAGCAGATCACGAATGATGAAATGGAATTGCAGTGCTTGTACTTATGACAACTGGCCCAGATCGAAAAAATGCGTTCTATGCCACACTGCCCGGGATAAGATAAAAACTGACGCTGAACAAGCCAGTACATCATCTGATTATGATGATAATAAACGTAACATTGGTAACGGAATTACAAAAACCTCACCAACATTGCCCACTCCGATAGGGGCAAGTGGAATACAAACCATTGAACTTGCGGCTGCTGCTGGAATTGCTTCTGCCAGTAGTAGTGGTACTACTACTACTAGTAGTAGTAGTAACTATGAAGAAGATAAGGAACACCGTAGAGTAAAGCTACGCAAACGAATGCGTAAATCAGACTGGTTATTTTTAAATGCGTGTATTGGTGTTGTTGACAATGACATTCAAGCAGTAGAAGCATACCTCACTTCTGGCGGTGATCCAGGTCGTCAACTCACCCAGGATGAAATAAATCTATTGAACAGGACAAGTGCTTTTGATGTCGGTTTCACACTGGTGCATCTTGCGATACGATTTCAACGGGAAGATTTGTTGTCGGTTCTACTGACACCAGACGTTGCTAGCCATGCTTTGAAAAGGATGCCATGTCATGTGAGTTCAGATCTGGCTACCGATATACGTAGAGATATCGCTGTATCATTGCGACAGAGAAAAGGAGATTTTCCTTGTTGTTTTGTCACTGACTGTGTTACGTTTACTCTTCCTGTTGGTAAGTAACTTTATTTTAAAATACCATATTCGCCTTATTACTAGTTTATATATTTTGCGTCTATATAAATGATGGACCTGTATGTTTTTATGAGTACAGTAAAATAATATACATACACTCGTAAACATTTCAGAGAAACTATGAAATTCTTTAGGAAAGAAATCATAGTGTTTCATCACATTTGCTCTATAGATGTTTTAAATGAATGATACAGTAAAACCTCCGAAATTCCAACTTCATTTACCGAACATGTAAGTTCCGCCTACTCATATTTTTTGAGAAAGTTGGCCATAAATTACATGACAGTTCATTCGTTTATTATGTACAATCATGCAGCTCTTCACCCATGGCACAATGAAATAGCATTATTTTGTGTATTACGATGGCGTTTTTTTTGAAAAACTTGTCCTAATATTTGATAAAAAAAAAATTCTTAAACAATAGAACACAATGATAAAGAAAAATTGCATTTTTTGGTGCTTTTTAAAGCCCAGATTACTTAAATAATTGAGAACAACAAAAAGTATTCCTTAACACTACTGTAAAATACTTTATTTTAGCTGGAATTAATTTTCGATGAAAAGACATTTTTGGTGCTTTGTGTGGAATTTATTTTCACTGATTTTTGACAAGTTGAATGTAAAATATATTCGGTATATTCGCTCGATTTTATTTTCACTGAATCATTCCTTCAGCGAAAATAGCGAAAATTAATTAAATCTAAGCGAAAATTACTAAGTATTCTACTGTATATGATTTTTCAATCTATGTCACTAGCCTATTAGAAATATGACATAATACCTCTGTGATATGAACCTATGTTAAAAGCGTTATAATACTGTCAAAATGGCAACTATCCACTAAAATTAGATTAGTGTCTCCCTTAACTTTTTAAGTCAATATCCTCACCGGTAATTTAAATTGCCTTGGAAAAATTATTGCAAAATAAATAAATTTTGGATATTTTCATTATCTTAAATAATTAATTTTGAAAAAATAATCATTTGTTGTTAGAAAACAAAATGTCAATCAAAACACAATCACTTGCGATGATTTATTTATCAAAAACAAAACAAAAACATTATGATATGACTGAGTTCGCACCATGAAAAAAATACATTTCATTTGTTATTGTCATGAAAGCTGTTAAAATTGCTATCACATTACCGGTATGCAGTGAAATCAACCATAGCAGATTGTACTGCAACTTTGATAATACAAATGTAACAAATGTACTTCCCGATGAGTTCTTTGTTATTGCCAATACTCAGGAGAATTGTTAATGGCATTTTCGCCATACGAGGTCAAAGGTCACCAAATGTAGGTCAACTTGTATTCTAGAAAAAACATGTCAGATTACAGCATTTGTACAGAATCAATCAAGTGTTCCAAAAAATGTTTTCTCGATAAAAGATACTTTTAGTTTACATAAGTATATTTCCTCAAACCATCATGCATAACTGAATAATAAGCAATGCTGTGTTCGTCTACGCTGGTATGTATGTAGATGATCATTTACTTAATGTTTATATTCTTGTATCGTTCCAATTACTACGTTCACTGTCGGGTATCTCGACACGTGCTGAAATTGTTAATCCTTTGTGTTTGCAGAGGGATTACAGCAGTTACGTTCACGTTATTCGGAACCCAAATCGGACTGACTTGGCTTGTGCCGAAATCACGCCCTGTTATTTGGTCCAAACATGGAAAACGATACACATATGATGATAATAATAATTGCTATACTGAAATTATATCCATTTGTTGTTATAGTATTTATTACGAGTCATCGTGCACATGAATGACAAAGAAGATTCGAAAAACAATTATTTTTTCATGTCATTGTAGCATTGCTAGAAAATAGCGGTTGCAGCAGCACATACATATGTGTCGCTGATGACTGATGACTGTTTGCGCATTCATTAGCACAGCATTCTACCATATACTAGTATATCTGCATTTCCTATCATCGGTCATTTCATACTAGTATGAATCAGCATATGTTCTCTTAAATTTACCACTGAGGGCGTGATTTAGGCTCATGCCGAGCGTTCAGGCAGCAAATCTCGGCACCTGCCGAGTTTCGGTCTTTTGCATCCATCCGGACCAAGATCAATTTTTTTTTTACCTGTGTCGCCTCAGTCCTGACCATTCACACACAAGTTTCGGCATGTGTCAACTCGGCCTAGCTATTAGTTAAATGGTATTTGTTTTCATAAATTAATTAAAGTCTAAATTAGAGTTAAACCATTAGTTCAAGAAAATAAATCTGAGGTGAAAAACATTCTAGAGAACTCAAAAAAGCACAATTATGGTATTGGTTGAAATGTTAGAAGCCAATGAAATACAAACATCTGCTAAATAATTAGTTGGTCAAGCTTTTGTGGTAATCCAAAACCATTCACTGTTTTGTTTTGTTCACTGGGAAATGGATTCATATGTTTTGTTCACCCAAGTACACATTGCTAGTTCTTTTCAGAATGTTCTACATGTACATGTACATCGCAGACAGACCTTGTGAGATTGTGCGTGATTCAGCAAATGTTTCTAAGGAGTTACAAATATCAGAGCATCAGATATCTTGCAAAAACAATGTAGTGGAGTATGTTCTCTATGTTTTTGTTTTAAATTACAGATACATTGTATTATTAAAATGTGGTCGACTCTGAACTGAACATTTTCCAGACACTGGAACTTATTGCAGTTTATTGTAGAGAACTCAGAAATCATATAAACAGTGTTAAATGACAAGTTTCGCTATTACTACATAAATGTCACGAAAGTGACCCTTCTCACATGATTTCAAACCTCTGAAACTGTTTCACATGTGATCTTATGGAAGATTGTGAAGATTTCACTATTTTTATTTTACCTGCCCAGCAAGCAACAAGCTGACTCAGATTTAGGGGGGGGGGTTACATTTTGACTCGCAATGTCTAAGTAGGCATTGATGAGATTTCACTGGTATATAGATTTTACAAACACTTATTTGTACTATCTGTCTTATAGTTTTCACGCCATAATTATACCGTTAATCTGTATTACAACATAGGGTTTTTCTGAATGTAATATTGAAAATAACTTTTTGCAAAGAATATAGCATGTGTGTATATTGTTACCAATGTCAATTTGGTTTGAAATGTTGGACTGTCACATTCATAGAGACCAAATTTCCAGTAGTACATTAATGCAGTAAATGAAGTATACTGAAGAACAGTTGTCTATAGTTTTCAAAACCACACCCAAATTTTAATTCGATGTTCAATTTACTGTTCACAGAAGTATGAGTTAGTAACTAACTTTAGTTAACAGTTAACCAAACTTTGAGTTATGGATAACATACATGTAGATGATTTCAGCCAAATATAATTTTTATCGAAAATCAGTGAAAATAAATAACATACAAAACACCCAAAATACCTTTTCAGCGAAAATTAATGGTTTCTAAAAAATGGTTTCTAAAATCTGAGCATAGTCATTTCTGTACCTATTTGTTCATAATTCAACAATCCAACATCTCTTGAAAAATCTCTTGAAAAACATCTCAAATTTGAAATTCAAATTTGCACCACCACCAGCTGCTTATTATGCATGCAGATTGGCTGCCAATTTTAATAAAAACCTACTCAAAATTGGGTTATCGCTATTTTTGTACCATATTTAAAAAAAAAGTATAAAATAAAAAGATTGAGGTCTCCCTAGAAATAAATTTGGTTAATTAAAATTAAGAACTTAAGGAACATGTAATAATCAACTCCCTATGTGGGGGCTTTGTGATTCCATACTCCTTTATTTGTGGTGTGAATTATTTCAAGGACATCAGAGAAATGTAAATAGTAAAATAAACACTGATGTATGATAGCTGAAATCTGGATACATTTAGTGATATTTGAGAAGTGGTCCCAGATTATATTGCATCTTAGATTGTTAAGAATGAACTCTGCTGGTGATTCAATCACACTACTGTAGAATACTTTATTTTCGCTTGGAATTTATTTTCGCTGTTTTCGCTGAAAAGGATAATTCCGTGAAAATAAAATCCAGCGAATATACTTTTTTTCTATATTTCACATTAAACTCATCAAAAATCAGTGAAAATAAATTTCATACAAAACGCACAAAAAGCATTTTCAGCGTAAAATTAATTTCAGCGAAAATAAAGTATTCCACAGTATGTACATACTGGCATTCCAATCCAGAAAATAGACTCCACTCCAGTCTGTGTTATTTTTAGTCTGTGTTATTTATGTAGTGTGTGTGTGTGTGTCATAATCCTATGTTGTATTACTGGTAGTTAGGCCGCCCTCTATTGGTTGGACCAACTAATTTCAGTTTAAACAAAAATATTTAATTTTCCTCTATGAACACAACAACCTGACAGGGAAACTTTCACTTTGTTTTCTTTCTAATGATTAGAAAATAAATAAACGTCATTACAATTTTGAGTTTTAAAATGTGTATTTTTTTTCCGTATTTCTCACTTTTGTATTATGTTACTAAAAACTCTCATAATTCAACTACTCAGCATTTTTTTTTAAACAATTCAATTCAGCCAAAAATATTTTTCTGTAAGTATTAGGACTATAATAATTACATTTTAAACTCACCTTGGAGGAGTATAAATCTGTTGAAATGTTAATATATACTGGTACCACAGTTCTTCTCATAACCGTGTATATACACAGTGACACTTACAAATTTGTTCATAATGCATAGACATCTTGAAAGCATTTCACAGTAGGGTACCCATAGGGCAGTTTGAAATAAAAATACATAACAGTTGCCACATATGTCTTAACAAATGCCTTAACGTAATCTTGCCTTGGGAAAAAAATGCCAAGACTAATCTTGAAGGTTTTGAAAAAAGATCTGCAACAGAAACATCAGTGCTTCAATATAAATTACCCGCCGAGAACTGTGAAAACTTACATATTTTACATACTGTAGAATACTTTATTTTCGCTTTGAATTTATTTTCGCTATTTTCGCTGAAGGGATGATTCCGTGAAAATAAAATCCAGCGAATATACTTTTTTCCTATATTTCACATTAAACTCATCAAAAATCAGTGAAAATAAATTCCATATAAAATGCCCAAAAAGCCTTTTCAGTATTTTACAGTAACTGATTGCAGTATAGGTTTTCAAAAATGGTTCGACTAATTTGATGAGCTCGGATTTGCCATGCCACAATGCGACCGTTGACCTGATACATGTTGGTCAAGAATGCCATCAACCAATCAGAATGCTATACAGTATGTTTTATCAAATACATAACGTGCATATCTTCACAGTGTTACGTAATATTACGACAGTTCAAAGGTGCATGCATATATAACACAAATTAATTTGTACAATTGTCTCATTCACTTATTTGGTTGTATGCATGTTTCTTCTTTTTTCGAATATACATGTAATGAATACTGAATTTTAAATATGTTCATTGAACATAAATAATCCTTTATTTTTATTGTAATGACAATTGATGTATATTATATTATGAGTGGCGTTCACTTTTGATATCTCGGCATGTGAGACTCGGGACCGAGTCAGCAAAAAAAAAACTTGATCTCGTTAGATGCTTTGGGCCCAAACTCGGCACGGCCGAGATTTGCTGCCTGAATGCTCAGCATGAGCTGAAATCACGCCCTCAGTGGTAAATTTAAGAGAGCACATGCTGATTCATATGAGTATGAAATGGGACAGGGATGCAGATATACTAGTATATGGTCGGATGCTCTAGTAATGAATGAAATTTAATGCAAACCGTCGTCAGCGATGCATATTTATGTGCTGCTGCAACCACTATTTTCTTGCAATGCTACAATGACATGGAAAAATAATTGTTTTTCGAATCTTCTTTGCCGTTCATGTGCACGATGACTCGTAATAAATACTATAACTACAAATGGATACAATTTCACTATAGCAATTATTATTATCATCATATGCGTATTGTTTTCCATGTTTGGACCAAATAACAGATCGACGAATGGGGGGGGTGATTTTAGCACAAAGTGAGTCGGTCTTAAGTGGGTCCCGAATAACGTGAACACAAAGGATTAGAAATTTCGGTATGTGCAGAGATCCCGTAATGTGAACGTAGTAGTTATCGTTGAACAAATATTACTTTTAAACAGACTGAAAACTCCCGTTTTCTTTAAAAAAATGACATCATCACTGATAACTTAACCTAGTAATCCAATGTGTTAATCTCGTCCATTATATTCATCGTTCAAGTATTTTCACTCGGGGAAAACAAAATTTTTGTATTTCTGAAAATTCAACCACAAAGTTTTGGCAGTATGGAGTGTCTACTTTACATGTTTACTGCTCTAAGGATAATTCTTGTATGTACATGTTTAGTATAGTCAATTTGTTGGGACTCAAACCTAACAGTAGGTGCCTAAATAAACTGACCATGAAAACTACTGTCTTTCTGTCAACATTGCATCACTGCTAGGAACTTTGTCAGCAGTGTATGCATTGTCTTTGACACTTTTTAATTCCATCATGGACACAGCTATTTTCATGAGTGATGTGAGTAAATACTCATATTTAATCCCCAAATATTTTCTCTTAGGTTGTAACTTGGAGGTACCTCCATGGTTGAAGTCAGCAGACACAAGTGATTAATACTACAGGATTAACGCTATAAATCTAGCGTAATCACGAGTGTGTTCTAACTTCAACCTAAGAGAAAATATTATGGGATAATATAGTTATCACATGCATATTTTCATAGTACGACACAGTGTCGCTGTGAAACGGCAGAGTGATACAGAATGCTTACCAACCCTTGTCATGATGATATATTACCATGTAAAAATAAAAATAACTCCTTTGGGCCTTATCTGTGTTGTGTGGTGTCATTCATCTAATTCAGTGTTTGTTTTTTTCAATATCGCACTTCATAATATATTCTGCATTGACGTGTAACAGTTATACTTCAATGGCTTGCATATCAACCAAAAGTCAATTCAATAATTTGTTTCTTTCTCAGAAATTGAAGATTTTCCCTTACCAGTACGAAATCAGCTGTTTGATGAAATTCTCGATAGAGATGTACAAAAAGGTAAGATTATGAGTTAATCCTATAAGACCTCACATCTACATGTAGTTTATTTTATGCATTGCTGTCTTAATAAAATAAATGATTTGTTTCTGGTCAGTGCGCATGGCATTTCAAAAGGGGTCGCTCATGACATTTTTTTGCAGATTTCTACCACAATATTGTAAAAAAAAAATATGCACTACCGCACCATTGTTTGGAAGATCATATACATGTATTGCTGCAGTCCTGCAATTATTCCAACATCAGTTATCTGCATTATCTGAACTAATTTTGTTAATCTTGTTCGTCTATATTTGTACATTGCCTCACGACCTTACTAGGACTTGTAGTCGCATGTTTTGACATTTATGATGTAACTTATGATTTATCAACTTATCGGTATGTATGGTGTGATCGTGCATATAATCCTGTTATGCATTAACAAAAACATTTTTCTATGGATAGATAACCAGATAACAGTGATCTCCCGAAAAAATTAAAAAATTTAAAAATGTACATACTACCGAATTCGGCTGATACCTCGCCCATCCTAAACCCCGCCCATGGGCGATGTTTCAAATAGTGGGCGATGTTTTGGTCCACACATTGCCTGACTGAACCAACAAACATTTTTACAGACCCCAATTTTCCCGTCCGACATCTTGTATCGAGCGCGCTATTTCAAATATGACGCTAAAATAATTCACTGTAAAGTCGAAAAGCATTAAAACTTCAATAAAACCAATGCTGTATACGAATTGTTGTTGCGTATTATGACTCGTTAAAATACATTTCACTTACGTTTATTACACTCGAATAAAGTCTACGCTTGAAAAGAATGTTATTTACGAAGTTTAAAATATCCAAGCTTTCCAGATTTGAGCCTCTTGGTTGTTATCAGCAATGTTTAATCTTTGTCTGTATCGCATTCCAGACAAAAAGTCAGTAAACAAGAAATGGGCGAACTAAAA